TTCTTTAAGATATCAAGGTCCACTTATATGGTCAAAATTAAATGTAAATTTAAGAGAGCTCCCAAGCCTAAAATCATTCAAAGCTAACATAAGGAAAACTGACCTGGCTAGTCAAATGCAGAACAATACAAACTGCTGTACTTTATGCAGTTCATAAATTATGAACAACTATTTTATCTCATTCTAGTATTTTAACAATTATATATGTGTGTAAATGTGTAATATACTCATCCGCATTCTAGCTGTATATACAGTTATATTTTAAAACTATATTTTAGATAGTGTCCCCAATTAGCTTACTTGTAGCTAAATACATAGACACTTGAATAAAGTTATTATTATTATTATTATATTTTATACAGGGTGAGTAAAAAATAACTGAAATTCAAATTAGCCGCAAAGTTCCCCAAAATATCTCATTGGTATACGAAGCATATATCATATTATTTAACCTAAAACATAAAGTTTCTTCCCTTTGGCAGTTAAAAAGCATTCAAAGCTGCGTAAATAAAAAAGAACAGTGTTATCAAATCGTTTTTGTTGATTGTACACGGTGGGAATTGTTATATTCCAGCCATAAGTTCACGCTGATTTGAATTTCCAAGGTGTCAGTTTTTTTACTCACCCTGTATTACGCTAGCTGACAATACATACAATGCTGTCAAGGATTTCAACTCTTATAAACTTGCTTGACGTATTAGTTTCTTAGATGAAATACATGAAAATCCTGGATAATACCATTAAAGAGTACAGCAAACGAGAATATGAACAGGTTTCAAATTGGAAAATATGACCATTAATTGTGACCAGCAACGTACGGGACAACGCAAATGTTCAATGGTACAAACGGCATTATCGAAGCCCATGCCCTTTCAGGGAAATATAGACAGCCATGTTGGTTGTATCATCGCACAATAGTCTTTATGAACTTATAGTATTATCAGAGTAGAGTTTAATTAACAGTAAAGTACAACTGATAATTATTTACCTTGTCGCACAGTACATTTCTCAATTCGTCGAGCACAAGGGTATATTACCAAAATCAACAATGATTACAAAACCTTTCGATCACATGTTTTTATAGTCTAATAGATATAGTTTGAGTTGCTTGAATTCTCTTACAAAGAACTGTCTTCAGCTGCAAAACACTGTCTCTGATTATCTGATCGGTCATGATCTACATGCAACCATTGCATGGTGTCACTGAGTAAAAACACTGAGCCTTTCATATTCAAATTTGCCGCATAACGGCTGTAATTTGACAAAAGTTGCCTGAATTGAATAATTAATCTAAACAAAACTGTAGAAATTTGCATGTAACTCAACGACTCCAGCATAATTTATACTGAACGGCAGCCAGACATGATTCAGAGAGTGTTTTGTGAAATGCACAGGCGAAAGACTCTTCGTGCTGAAAGAAACGACAATAGCGTAGCCAGCCTGACAATATATAATAGTCATGCTACGCTAATATTTTCGTGTTCATTGACTGTGAAAACAGTGAATTTCTAAATAATAAATAATGATAATAACATAAAATTTGCATCGCATGACTAAATCGTCAGGCTGGCTACGCCACTGAGAAACGACGGTCATGTTGATATAAAATATTCAGTTGAATTCATTTATTTAGGTCTTAATTTCATTATGTTTAAGGTTCTTACAGACAAGCAATTTTTTCTATGACAAGTACATTTGTACACAAAGTTGGGCGTACAGACGAACAATCAAAACTTGTCACATAAAAACTTGTCATAGATTTTCCTGTAAGAGGCTTTATTCAAACGTGTTTTCTGACGTATTAAATAAAGACCTCGTTGCAGTTTGTTGCATGTAAACGTATTTTCATTGGATGAAACCCTCGCAGTGAGCTGGCAACGTCGCAAAAGCTCGCAAGCCAGGTTTTCTACCAGCGCTCCACGACCCACGCAAGTTCGCCATTGCGATGAGTAGAAAAGAGCTTTTATTTATAGCCATCAAAGTTTTTTCGAATTCAGGAAGGCGGAGGTTGAGGAATAAAATTTGAGAAGTGTCTGATGCAGATATGCGATATTAGCGCGTTGTATTACAAACGAACAATTCGGGAGCACAATTATTTTGTTTTTATATGTCGCAAGGCGAAGAGGCTCGAATTGCGAGTGACGAAGATAAGGCTGCTAGAAAAAAGCAATATTATTGTAAAAGGAATGCTTCAAGAATTTATTTGATGAATGAGGACACGAAATGGCGAGGCTATATTTGTCGTCGCTACTGACGTTATTTTATCGCTTGTCCTACAATTACAAATACTGTATATAAAGTTTTAAATAACGGTTTATTTACAAACTTCGCTTTATATCTTGTTTAAAATATAATAATATTTTCTTCAAAATATAAAATAAGCATATTCATTAATCATTACAGCCGGTCGAATGAGAAGGAGAAGAAAATAAGAGAATTAAAATGACACATACTTCATGTAAAGATGATATAACCAACGTAAACAAACACTGCTATGCGCAGGATATTTGCGCAGAACGGACTTTACATCATCTTTAATTAATGTGAAGCAATTAGTAAAATAAATATGGCGGATATAAACTGAAAATAAATACTTTTTTAATAACAAGCAGTTGAAGATCAAAGAGAAATGTTATATCCACCAAAAAGAAAAATAACCAATATCCAAAGACTTGCACTATCTTCATGCCGATCTAAGATTATCATGCATATCTTCATAAAATTATGTAAATAAAACGTATCGATATAAAATGCAAGATTAAGATACTTCAAACGGTTGAATAATGAAACAGTCGTACCACATGCACAATCATGAGTGTCAAATTTCTAACGTGAGTAAATATCATCAGAATACGGGGTACGAGAATTGATGAATTGGCAGATTGATTTTTATATATTTCGCGCCAAAATCGACTTGCAACGTCAAATAATAATGACACGAATAAAACAAAGATCTGACATTTTTTAACTTTGGCAGGTCTTTGCTGCTTGCGCCGGAGTAATGAATAAAAAATCATTGCATGTTTGGGACTACAATGAGTGTAATTTCAATTAATGCTCGGGGGAAACTAACCAATCCTTCAATAACCCAATCCTTCAATAAGGGCACAGGCAGACACCGCATACTATCTTATTTATATAGTTATCCTAAGGCTAGCAACTCTCTCACAAAAAATACAATGCATACATTAATACCATCGCTTAAAACACAAAAAATATACGTTAGTTTCTTGAGAAAAAACTAGATACAAAATACCTTGGATATATTTACTAAATTTATCTGTCATTTTTAGACTTGAAAACAACATAAAAATGCTTAAATTTTGCAAATAAAAAGTGTATTTTTATCGAAATTTTGTTAAACAGAGGAGGGATGCAATTTACTCGACAAGGCCAACTCGATGACGAAAAAATGCCTTCGTAATTTTCCGAGCTTTCAACAGCGAATCAGAAATTTGCCTACGATTTTCCGATGATGACGTTTGTCGAGTAAATTGCATCCCGCCTCTGTTTAACCAAATGTCGATAAAAATACTCTTTTTATCTGCAAAATTTAAGCATTTTTAAATTGTTTTCAAGTCTAAAAATGACAGATAAATTTAGTAAATATGTCCAACGTATTTTGTATCCAGTTTTTTTTCAAGAAACTAGCGTAATTTTTGTGTTTCAAGCGATAGTACTATTGTATGCATTATATTTTTTGCGCCGAGAGAGTTGCTAGCCTTAGGATAATTATATACATAAGATGGCATTTGGTACCCGCATTAGCCTATGATGGAGGTCGTCAATATTCAATATGCAGCTTGCACTTAAATAATTTATTTGCCTTTTTAACATGTATGTAGCTATATTAGCTACTGTTCCTCCGATTTCTACCCAAACAAGCTGTTTCAAATAAATTCCTCAAATAATTTCCAATCTATCTTGATCACAGTTGTGGTAAGTCATTTTAAACATTAAAATTTACTTCCATTGGCAATTGTTTCGTGAGTTGTAGTTTATAGATGCCCTAATTTAACAAAGAACTTAGTTAAACGTCAAAACGAGCTGGCATGCCATTCAGTAAAAAATTATACCAACGCATATGTATCAGCTTTCTCGACATGAATTCAAAGGAAATCGACTGCAATTTTTTGGAAAAAGTAAATTTTTCAGTGTATATCATTGAAATGAAATTGGTCGGCCGTTTCACACGAAATCGAGCTTATCTTCGATGACGCATTGAATATTTTTCTTATGACTTTAGGTTATTTACCGTTTAGAAATGAAGTGTGTAAAACCTAAATGTACTTTAATCTAATAAAGTCGTTCGCATGCGAGCAATACTTACTGCAGTTGCCTAGGCAACCGTCGGGAGAAAAATAAACAAACTCTGAATAAATTATCGAAGCAAACCAGCAGCTTACGCATATGAATGTCAGTTAACAGTTTGAGGTCGATGCGTACGCAAATGAACAAGCTTTGCTATTACTTGATGATGTATTGATGACAATAAAACACAATGAACTATCATAAATACATACCACTTATTAACCGAATTTGAGGTCCGTACTAGACTAGAAGGTCTTGACAGTACGGACCGAGCGATAGCGAGGTCCATACATAAAAGATCGAGGTCTGATATTTTTCCAGTACGGACCGAACGTATTCGGTTAATACGGGATTCATCATATGGCATACAGTATTTAGTTTATTTATTTATACAATGCGCTGCAGCATTCTTGCCGGCTCTTTCGCCAGCCAGTCGCCAAGCAAGCACTGAAGTGGCTTCCAAAACTTGGTTTTTTATTTACGTTTTATTCCCAAGCAAAAAATTCAAAACGACGAAACCATTCAAATCTACATTCAATAATCATGGCTTTTTTTTCATTACAGGAAAATTTCTTCATATTGCAACAACTGAAAGTTGAAGAACCATGCAATTAAAACATTTCTTATCCCTATATGTACCATGTATATCACTTGCAGTCGTAAATGTTATATCAAGTGAAACCAGTGCAAACATTTGCTATAATTCTAGTCTTGAAGGTAAAGTAAAACATAATTATAATGATCTCACTCCTTGCTCCGATTTGTATAACTGTATATTTTGTTTCTCTATATTATCTATATTACTTTTCATGTGCTCTGACTTTTTCTCGCTCTCATACACTTTCTATGTTATTGTCTGTCTCCAACTGTCAATCCGTTCTAATTCTATTGTCCAAGCCTAATCATCTATAAATAGCAGTTATGTATCTTACAATAATATATATCAACATATTGTCAGAATCCTGGAAAGTCAAGTCATTTGAATAAACATACCTCTCTTTACAGCTATAGCTTCTGAGTGGAAGAAATTAACAATGAAAATTGATTCATCACATTTTTGTCAATCATCGAAGTATAAATCTATTCGCGCATGAAAATGTGGGACAGATCAGTGATTTGCACACATCATCCACGTATTTGATGCATGGACAAAATTAAGTGAGAGGAATGTCAGAAAATATATCACAATGTCACAACCCTGAATATCTTAAGAAAAGTCTTAGCTATAGAGAGGCAAAACTGTGGTATATCCTCTGAAATTAGGCAGGAAATAAGCAACCCTAAAATTCATATCTTTGACACCCGGCATATTAGTGTCTAGTAACATTAAAAGCTATTTATTAACAGTTGAATAACCTACCTACTTAGCATAGGTTGATTACTATAGGTAAGTTACCATAGGTAGGTTACCATATTCACCATACCTACCATACCTACCATACCTACCATACCTACCATACTTACTATACCTACCATACTTACCATACCTACCATACCTACCATATCTACCATACATACCATACCTACCATACCTACCGAATCTTATAACTACCAAAACTTCAATAATCTGGTTCGAGACCAGTGATGATATTGAACGTTTTAGGCTGACTTTACGTTTCTTGAGACTTTTAGCTTGACGTTTATAGCAAACGCTAAACCGCCAACAAAGTTTGTGTTTTAACTCCACAATCTTTAGGTGTGCGGCATTTTCGCTAGATTACAAACGTTCTACATAAAACTTGTGATGTTCAGCCGAATGAAAGAAAGCAATAGGCTATTTTTGATGTACTTAGAAAAGCAGCAAATTCAGCTTTGCCGCGTATGTGTTTCACGTTCGCCGTATAAAACTTCATGTTTGAGCGACTGCATACACGGAATACAGCCTCAGCCGTTCAAGCATTAAATTTCATACGGCGAACGTGAGACATAAAATTATACGGCAAAGCTGAATTTGCTGCATTGTAAATACATCAAAAATGGCCTATTGCTTTCTTAAGGCTAGTTTCCACTCAGAAAAAATCTCCTTTGGATCGGAACGGACAGGAAAATTTCCTTTGTCGGTGAGTTCTCAGGCGGCGTTTATACAAAGAAATCTTTCCTGTCCTGTCCGATCCAGAAGAGAATCATCCTCAGTGGAAACTAGCCTTTACATTATTGCTGAAAATCACGAGTTTTCGTGTAGAACGTTTGTAATTTAGCGATATTGCTGCACACTTTAAGATAGTGAAATTAAAATACAAACTTTGTTAGCGGTTTGGCATTTGCCGTTTGAGATGCCTTAAAACTTTGCAATGCGTAGGTTTTCGTTAAAATAATTCATTTTACGCTTTAGGATTCCGACTGAATGTAACAGTTGTCAAGAAAAAAGCCGTTTCTGAATGGATAGATTGCGTAATGGAGTGTGCAACTGAGATATGTTGTAGATCTATCAACTTCAAGAAGAAATTAACTTCAAAAAATGATTCAAATTGTGAAATGTTACATAACGTGGTTTACAATACATCTGAGAGATTACTGGAGAAGAATTCCTCCTATGATTATGTTTATCTTCTCAACCCACAAAAGGTATGATTTAGTGCCATAGCTGTTATAGCTGTGGCGTTATTTGAGATATATTAACTGCTTTTCATCGGAAAACATTTATAAACATAAACCTGACTGTTATAGCAAGATTCAATTTTGTTGAATGGTTTAGCGTGGTTATTATCGTACATTGCAAGCAAGGAATTAATATTCTTCATTACAGGGTTACAATGAAAGTTGTTTTAACGATGAAAATGAAAGAGGTATGTGTTGATGTTAGTAAGAATCAAAACAATTCAAAAACCCGGGACAACATTTTGCTAACTACATTACCCGACGATTAACAAATTAGGAAAACTGAAACATATCTCCCAACGACCAGAGGTGGATAATAAGCCTTTGGTGAGTTTGATGCCTACAAATGCGCTTCATTCGTTTAATTACACTCATTCTGAACAATTTAGTCAAAGACTGCGCTGATATCTATCATAAAGAAATAAAACAAAGTGGAATTTATAAAATTAATCCCGACGGACAGGGAAGTTTCAAAGTGTTTTGTGATATGACAACATCAGGTGGAGGATGGACTGTATTTCAACGTCGTCTTGATGGAAGTGTTGACTTCTACCGAGGATGGCAAGATTACAAACAAGGTTTTGGTAACTTGAGCGGGGAATATTGGCTTGGACTTGATAAAATACACAAGATGACAAATATTTTAGAAAATGAACTTCGAATCGACATGGAAGATACATCTGGAAACACCAGATACGCTCATTATGATTCATTTAATGTCAGCAGCGAAAGTGAGAAATACAAGTTGAATGTTGGGGGTTATCATGGTAAGCACATTAGGCTGTATACAATTGTTCGCAAATGTTTTCAGAGTCCTATACCTCATTACATTGATACGATTTATAATATTGTGAAACTCATGAATATTTAACGAGGTGTATTAGGTCACATGCACACCGTTTATACCGTAGTTTGCATAGATATGCAAATCAATTACAAACACTAGCACGTGTATCGGAAAAATACAGTGTGTCCCAAAAAATTGTGACGCAATAGAAATTATCGTATTGTTTTAATTTTTATGCCTGAGCGCTAGTAAAAAAACATTGACACCTTTGAAATTCAAATTAACCGCATAGCGGCTGAAATTTTAGAGAAGTTGCCTAAAATATCCCATGGGTATACGAAGCATATCAAATAAGTTAACCATTAATTAACCTAAAACATAAAGTTTTTTCCCTTTGGGAGTTAATCAAGCCTTCATCAAGCCTTCACTTTTTTCCAAACAACATAACATTATACTTGGATTTCATCAAGATTACTGTTGAGTATCCGTACAGCATCCTTTACAGTGACGGGATGAACATTCGCGAAATCACAAATTTACATTGTGGTTGTAGCATTTGAGCCGTAATTATCAAAGCGCTGTTAAATACCCTAGAAATAGAAATGACTCTATATTTATATTTATTAATGTTGGAATTGCTTTCCGATCAGCAGGACAAAATATAAACACATTAACATGAATTTGTGGGAGATTGGATCGTCGGGTTGAAGTACTTCCGCAACAATTTTTACAAAAATTTTGACAATTGATACACAATTCATCCAAAATAGGCCTGGGGTTGTCATCGATCCCCTCCCCAGCCTGAATAGATAGATAGATAGTGTATTAAAATTATCTTGCAGCCCAAAGGCTGTATTGCGTAATATATACAAAACTAAGTAAATTAGGTAATTTAAAATTTAAAATTTTTTGCAAAGTATATTATTAACGTACGATTTTGGCATTAATTGCACTCCATTACCATTATTAATTTTAAGAGGCCATTCAATTCATGCATATATTTTTACATTAAGGTACAGCAGGAGACTCGTTATCATATCATAACAATATGGATTTCAGCACCAAGGATTCTGACAATGATATTGCGAAAATCAACGTTAACTGTGCGGTGACATTCAAAGGAGCCTGGTGGTATCGTGGCTGTCATTATTCCAATTTAAATGGTTTGTATCATTATGGCAATCACACATCGTACGCTGATGGAATCAATTGGCTCCATTGGAAAGATCATTATTATTCTCTGAAATCAACGTCGATGAAGATACGACCACGTGAATTTGGAAAGAATAAATAAAGTTGTTGAACGATAAAGAAGGTTTACGTTTACTTTATAAAAAGTGCAATGCACTAACACGGCACTTGTTGGTTTTTATAAATATTTAAAATCGTGTAATAAATGACGTATATTTACATAGAGGAGATTCTTCTCCTACGCCTAGCTTAATCCGAAGTCAAAGTTCAGAAAATAAACTAACTGTATAAAAGTGTATCGTAAGTTGTTCATTAGAATGAGCTTATTTTCATGACGGCTATATCTTCGTTTGTCACATTACATATAAAACATTCACGTTTATTTTCGAAGATCGTCCGTATTGAGACGTACGATTAGACGTGCTTGTAAATTTCCGGTTATAATTAAAATGCGCGTTAATTACAAGACACCCGATTGGTCCTCATCATTATATTGGAGTAATTACGTCTGGCAAACCCTCCACCTTATTTTTAGGCACATCACGGCTGCTTGAGCAGAAATTTTCCCCTTATCCATACCAATTTTGCACGACATTATTAAGTGGCCCTATTTTTTAACACGACGTCAACAACAATCACAGGTAAGAATTGTAAAAAGAATTTTCCATCGGCTTTTCTGTATTTGATATGTTTGTATTATTCCGACCATGAAAGCATTCACAATTCTTCACAATTTTATTCCATGAAACTTGCTCTGATAAACAACGAACCAGTTCTGTCGGAATGAATCATTGCAATAATTGTATACCAGGTGTACTATCCCGATAAATGGTGGTAAAAAGCAACACATCGTCAACACTGTAATAACGATAAAAAATAAGTTACAAAATAAAAATAAATAACGATAAATTCCTGAGATAAACGCTACAAACCTCATCCTGCCTTACTGTTCGTTCTTGTTGCTTACGCATGCGACCATGGCGGATTTATCGAAGATTCCATTGCAATTGCGTTGTTTTCCTAAACATGCGTAAATTTGTGTAAAACATTGGACACATCCATCGTAATTATCGCTAATCTGGTTTTAATAAATGAAAGTAATCACCACACAAAGATTCACTTTCACGAACCAACGTTTCGACACTCCGATCTAGTGTCTTCATCACGGGTGATCTGATGTTGAAACTCAGTTCCTTATATATTCTCAAAATGACGTCATCTAACATGCAATCAGATGTAAATATTCTTTTGGCAAATAGCTTCCCTCATCCCTATTTAGGACACAAAGACTCGCATTAATATGCAAGGCTTCCTAACAACGCATTTGTCCATAACGATCATTGGTGGTAACGACTTTTGAATCGTTCCACGCAATGGTATGGTTAGTTTTAGTTTTTTAAGTTTCACTGAAATTTGCTAAGAAAGGAGCAATATCTCAAAAGAATTGAGTGTACAGGTTGTTGACGTTCCCGCAAATAACAGAATGCACTCAAAAAATACAAATAAAATGTTACCTCAAGAGAAAAGACATATAGAAAGCTATCTTCCAAAAAAAACAATAACTTGCAAAGAAATTATCCGAAACATACGAGTTTCAAAATACAAAAATATCGCATTTTTGTACGAACTTTTTATGCAGCAAAAAAAACTGCCCCATGGTAGGACGATTGGCAAAAATGAAGGACTATAAGTGTCTTAAAACTATATCAAAATTACAAGGTAAAAAACAAAACTTACTCGAAAGCCAAAGCAAAAGTTTGAAGCGCACTTGTACTCACAGCAAAAAATTCATATTTACTCACTCTGTAGTGGGAAAATACAGTAGTCAGATAAGGTAGATGCAGAGAAACAGATTGAAACTTTTTTGCATTTCTCCACCTTCGTCTGGTTCCTCGTCGTTTCATTCATAAACACAGTAGCCTGTCTTTATATAAAAACATTCGGCGTTATATGAATGGGGCTTCGTAAACTTCACATAAGATGAGATGAGATGAGATGAACTTGACGTGTTGAATCTCCACTTGATATCATTTACCGCCAAGTAATTGGTGAGATCATCATCGTTGGCCAATGTTGCCAGCCACTTCCTCGTTCCCTTGAAAGCTTTTGCGTTATCACTAACGATCAAACTTGCATGGAATCTCCCTCTCGCAACGAACTTCTTCGACGTTTTCTTGAACTCACTAGCTGTCATCTCTTTGCACAGGTCTAGATGTACCGCTCTCGTGCTGGCACAAGTGAACATAGCAACACAAGCCTTCCTGGTTTTGTTTTAACTCATTTCAGTGGACGGGTTTTCTTGTTTCTTAAAAGTCTCCAATATCTGGTGCTCGTAAGAAGATCCTCTTCCAAACTCGGTCAATTTTCAAGTTTTCGTCTCCGTCTTTTACCTGGCTTTCTTTCACCGTCGCATTGATATCGTCGTTTATGGCAGCCCCTGCTACTAGTACCACTTCCGCTCAACCTCTTGCTTTACCGTCTCTATGCTAGCTTTACGTCGTTTTTGCATGTACCACAGCTCCTCTCTTTGCTTTTGTCCCATCGCAGCTGCTTCCCTTCCACTTTATTGCTTGGAACTTCATCTGCTCATCATTGAGTCGCTGCTGAAAGTATAACTCGTTCTTTAGTTTCTCTTCCACTTCCTGATCATTGATCTGCTTTTTCAACTTCGTACGAATGTCCCGAAAAGGTACCAAGAAACCGTCGTCACCTGGTGTTTCTTGCTCCCATCTTTGATATTGTCGAGGTTAGTATTTTTGTTCATTAAGTGTTCCACTTTCATATCTCTTGCCTTTTCTAGTCGGTTTATTGGTCGGTCCAGCCCGATCATCAGAATGTTTTACATCATCGATGACGTCGGTGATGATGAATTCCTTTGTCTCACCGATTTGTAGTTCGGGAACTGCTAATTGCTAATTGAAATTTTTCCTCTGTATCTATGTTCCATTTGTAGGTAATTCATTCAATACATAATCCGCGGCCAAACACGAGAAATTTATTCAAACGTTCGGTATCATGCCGTTGTTTCCACTTCAAGTGTGGGGAATTTGCCGTGAAATTTGCCTCGCTCCCACTCCCCGCACCACTGGATAAAAATTTCTCTCAATCGTTCAAAATATATTTTACATCCCATATTTTGCATTGAAACACCATAAAAAATGAAAAATAAAATGTTAAAATTCTTGTCAAATCTCCGGAAAGCGTGTTCGTTCGTGTTCGATTCTAAAGATCTTCGATATCACTATGGTAACACTGAACTGCATAACGTAACTGGATAATAAAATGCAAATTGTTCGACGACGATTTCCGACACCCCCCGACACGTGACATGGGAAAAATATCCGCACTGTACCCCGGATGTAGTGGCGTATGAGTTCTACGAGTGTTTTAGTTCTCAGTGAAATACCCCATGCATCCACCACTTTGTTTTGTTCATATCACAAATCACGTCATAACGTGTACCTGTAACTGAACAGACAGCGGTTCAATGTTATCTATTCGTTCATACTTCTATATAAATTTTTCCAAAGCAACCTAAACGATCTATTGTAATACAAATTCCGAAACCATGCAACGCCACCGCTTCCATTGAAGATGATCTTAAACCAATAAGTCTTACTTCGCAAGCCTTGTGGGAGGGTTCTCCTCAATTCTTTGCTTTCAGAAATGAGAGATTAGTGACCAACTTGATGTTAAACAATTAGCTGTGTCCGTGAAGTCGACTACTAACCCAGGCCTTGGTATATCTTCTCCATGCACCTAATCCATGCTGGACTAGACCGGCATCGGGCAATGGCTTACACGCACGACCGCCGATAAGCGTTTAGCTAATATTTTAAAAATATGAGGTTTCCTTAGGCGAAGTGGCCTACGGATTGTTTTCTCAAAATTTCGAATGAATTCCTGTTTTATTTCGCTAATTTGATGTCTCTCGATGGTGTTTACAATGGCGGAAACTTCAGGCTATAATGTTATGCAAACATCGGTAAAATATTAGGCTGTATATTTTCTGGCATTTCTTCAGGTAATTTCGCGGATAGTTAATTTTCACTTTTACGAAACTATAACTGTAATGTTTTAATAAACTCTTTCCTAAAAAAAAAACTTGTCGTTATACATAGACGATGTAAACAAAGTCAGCACGCGCGGAAGTATTACACGCGCTGTCAAAGTCTGGGCTGCCTATGTCTGTACTTGAAGATTTTGTATTGTTTTGATGTTTTTTCTGAAGCCTCAAATGTTGAAATTTTAACAGTTACCTAAGCTGGTAGGGTCTATAAACGCCTGTAGAAAAATGGTGACATGACCTTCAATATTGAGACTGTATTTTCACGAAATGATAAATATTGGCTATCGACGCTTGCTATTGAGTCATTCAATAATATAAACTTATAGTTATAGCTAATCTAGGCCTAGGATATTATTTTCTTGGTTTAAAATGGTGAGAGGTGCTGCATTTCATGTATTTCTAGTCATAAAATAAAACGAGTAATATTTTTATCAATATATGTGTTATGTCCTGCTTTTGTTAAATGATATATAAATTAACAGACATCTTTGCATTAACATATTTTCTGCTAAAAAGGAACAATAATATTTATGAGCAGCTGCCAGTGTCAGAGTTTGAATATTTGTTCACATACAGTACTTGGAACAAGTGAAATGAATGATATTATTTTTTATTGCCGTATAAAGAAACATTCAATATAAAGTATTGAAGATAACCCAACTTTGACAAAACTGTCAAAGGCTAAAATGCATCCCATTGAATGGCTAACTTAGCTACAGTTTAAGTTTTCACGCAGTTGCAATGCTGAATATAACTCGAAATGTAAACACAAGAGGGTAAAGAACCAAACAATTAATTTTTCATTTATTTGGACGAAGAGATAGAAAAGATTAAGATAACGTCCAAGACCCACTTTTTGTGGATTTGCTTGCAATGTAGCTATATTTGAATGCGAGCTTACACAGTCTAAACGTTTTAACCATATATATGAGACTGATCAGTCATCGCGTTCAGCACTTGTTGCCATAACAACGTAAATATTGTTGATCAGATAATTTGTTACTAACTTCTTAATCAAAGGACATTTTGCTACATTATCGGGGATATAACATTCAGTTTCAATTAACAAAAGATTGCATCAGGAATATTTCTTTTTACGCAATCGAAAAATGCTGTTTGGAGTTGATTTTGAAAATGACTTGTTTTAAATTTTACAATCATTGGACCTAATTGTTTTAGCGCTGATTTAAATTTTCCTTTCTCAACATTAGACGCAGTTATAATATTCAGTTATGCAGACTTTAACGTTTACCCGAAAACGATGTCCGGTAAAAATCGTTATTCGCGCCAGTTAATCTCAAGTCGAAGTTAAAATAAAGCGGCAGGCACTTTAAACATGCAATAACTTATAATTATAACTAATTGGTTTTATTTAATTACTTTTCGCGCTTTTTTAATTAACTCAAACCGAACAAGTTATTATCGAAAACTGAATGCAAGATTACTACGAACTCAGTTTTTTTTCACGTTTGACGTTTCTAAGGTCAAACTATATTTTTTGTTGCTCTGCTATGATAAATGTCATTGAAATTTTCAGAGTGATCTATGAAAAGGTAGATTATGCATTTTAGTATGATAGAGCGTTGATTTATAAACCGTAAGAACTATCCGTTTGAGAAATTTGCTTTCAGAGAGACAACATTCTCCCTAACCGCATATTTATTGCTCGGCACTATACGACTGTTCATAAATTAACTGCCAAATAAGAGACGTTGATGCTTATTATGCAGTTTGCACTTAAATAATTTATTTGCTGTTGAGTGTTTATAATAAGAATAAGAATAATTTATTTGCTAGCATGCACATCAGTATTTTGCTGCTGTTCTAAGCAAACCAACTGTTCAAAGTCCTGAAATAATTTCCAATATATCTTATAACCAGAGTTGTGGTAAGTCATTTTAAACATTAAAATTTATTCCATTCCCACTTACTTTGTTTCGCAAAATGTGACCAAAATTTTGTGTTAATTTGGGAGTTTGAAGGTCATAGATGCCCTTAATGAACGAAGGATTACTAGCAAGCAGGTTTTCTGCGCAAAAAATACACATGCACACGCGAGTTTTTTTTGTGGGAGAAGGGGTTTGGGGGAAGCACGATCCTACAGAAAGTAATTTCTCTTGGTCAATCTCTCATCCCAAAGACTTGTTCTTAAATGGCCGTTAAGTCGTTGTCCTGGGGTTTATATTCTCCCAATTAGGACTCCCATGATGTCATGTGCACACGCTACATACCATGAATGAGGTAGCTAGCCTCTAAGACATCAACCTGAAACATTCAAAATAAAGTGTTGAAGATAACCCAACTTTGACAAAACTGTCAAAGGCTAAAATGCATCTCATTTAATAGCTGAGTTATACAATTTAAATTTTCACGCAGTTGTAATGATGAAAATAGCTAAAGACAACGGTTCAATGTTATCTATTTGTTAATACTTCTATATGAATTTTTCCAAAGCAACCTGAACGATAAGTTGTAATACCAATTCCGAAACCATGCAACGCCACCAACTTCTATTGAAGATCATTTCAAACCAACAGATCTTACTTCGCCGATATAGCTAAGCTGCGGGAGGGTTTTCTCTCAATTCCAAGCCTGCGAATAATGGAATATATTTATACGCTTATTCCACGGTGGGGGGTGAAACGCGATAAATAGATCTATTCATTGTGTTTCCCCCCACCGTGGAATAAGCGTATAAATAGATTCTGTTATTCGCAGGCTACTTAATTCCTTGCTTTCAGAGATGAGAGATTAGTGAGCAACTTGATTTTAAACAATTAGCTGTGTCAGTGAAATCAACTAGTAACCCAGGCCTTGGTATATCTTCTCCATGCACCTAATCCATGCTGGACTAGACCGGCGTCGATCAATGGCTTACCCGCACGACCGCCGATAAGCGTTTAGCTAATATTTTAAAAAAGATGACGTTTCCTTAGGCGAAGTGACCCGGGGTAGTTTCCTCAAAATTTCGTATGAATTCCTGTTTTATTTCGATAATTTGATGTCTTTCGATGTTCTTTAAAAATGTGGAGACTCCTGTCTAATGTTGTGCAAACATCGGTAATTATTAGGCTGTGGATTTTGTGCTATTTCTTCAGGTAGTTTCGCGGATAATTAATTTTTACTTTTACGAAACTATAACTGTAATGTTTTAATAACTCTTTCCTATAATTATACCTTGTCGTTATACATAGACGATGTAAACAAAGTAAGCACGCGCGCAAGAGTCATACGCGCAGTCAAAGTCTGGGCTGCCTTTGTCTGTCAAATTAGAATAAATGCAAATTATCATGTCACAAAATTCTGGTAATGCGACGCTTCCCATTGAGTCATTCCATAATATAAACTTATAGTTATAGCTAATCGCTAATTTTCTTTGTTTAAAATGGCGAGGGGTGCTGCATTTCATGTATTTTTAGTCATAAAATAAGACGAGTCATATTTTTATCAATATATGTGTTATGACCTGCTTTTGTTAAATAATATATAAATTAACACACATCTTTGCATTAACACATTTTGCCAAAAAGGAACAGTAATATTTATTTATAAGCAACTGCCAGTGTCAAAGTTTAAATAAATGTTCACATACAGTACCTAAAACAAGTGAAATGAATGAAATTATTTTTCATTGCCGAATATTGTAAAGAAACATTCAAAATAAAGTGTTGAAGATAACCCAATCTTTGACGAGACTGTCAAAGGCTAAAGTGCATCTCATGAATGGCTGACTTATGCAGTTTAACTTCTCACGCAGTTGTCGTGATGAAAACAACTTACTCAAAATGTAAACACACGAGGGCAAAGAAGCAAACAATTAATATTTTATTTATTTCGTGCGAGGAGATGCAAAAGATTAAGATATCGTCGAAAATCGACATTTTGTGGATTTGCTTGCAATGCATCATTTGAGTGCGAGCTTATACCGTTTAAACGTTTGATCTTATATCTGAGACTATTAATCAGTCATCACCTTCAGCAATTGCTGCCATAAAAACGTAAATATTGTGGACTACATAATTTGTTACTAACTTAATCAAAGGACATTTTACTACATCATCGGGGATATAACATTCAGTTTCAACAAAAGATTGCATCAAAGATTGCATCAAGAATATTTATTTTTACCCAATCGAAAAATGCTGTTTGGAGTTGATTTTGAAAATGACTTGTTTTAAAATTCCCTTTCATAACATTATCTTTTTTGCAAAGCCGCCCTAGACGTAGTTAAAATATTCAATTTTGCAGACTTTAACGTTTACCGGCGTTAACGGAAAACGATGCTGGTTAAAAAAAGTTATTCGCGCCAGTTAATCTCAAGTCGAAGTTGAAATAGCTTGGCAAACACTTTTAACATGCAACTACTAAATTAGTTTTATTTAATTACTTTTTGCGCTTTTATTTAACTAAAAACCGAACAAGTTATGATCTATGGAGGGGCATTTAGGACAAAAATGACATTCGCTTGTACATTGCATGCCGTTCGTTCATGCCACATGCTATTCGTTCGTATCAGCTTTTATTCTCGACGTTGTTCGCGTGTAAGTTACACGCCATTTGTTCGTACACTTTCTGCCTTCGGTTTGAGCCGGCGGACTCATGTCATCGGGTCAGCGGCCGTTCCTTCTACTAGCTCGAGCCGGCGGACATAGTTTAATCGGGTCAGCGGTTGCTACGTAAGACTTCGTGTAAGGACCGCTGTCACACTGCTGTTTTACATTAGAGTCTACAGAGCAAAAGGTTGAACAAAAACGAAAGTACAGAAAAAATGAATAATTCATCTTCTAATAATCGTGATCTATTAACAAGAACCAGAAATTTATTAAGAACTGCATTGTGCCAATTGGAAACTGGAAATGTCTCAGAAACGAGTTCCTCGTTCTCGGAACAAGGACCAAGCGCTTCTACTTTTTCGGCATCGCCATCGGGGCAATCTTTGCAGCAAGGAGTCCAAAGACGAAGTGCCTCCTCTGTTTCAGGGCAAGGTCGAAGTGCCTCAGACGATTTCAGGTATGAAAAAGAGTACGAATGTGCATACGATCTTGAATGCTACACTACCATAGACCATAGTATTTAGAAGGTTGACGACTTGGTGTTGTCAACTGATTTGTCATAATGGTTTATACTTTATATTGTCATAGCAACAGATTCGTGTGAAATTTTGAATTTTGATTAAAAAAATTCTTTCACCCAAAAATAGTGATTGAAATCTTGTAGTGATTATATATATTCATTTCAATTTTAGAAGGGCATTTCCAGGAATGTGTTCTAGAAACGTCACACGCCCATTACCTTCTGGCAACTTACAGCCACCAGTGAAAAAAACAAAAGGATCAATAAAAGGTTATGTTCCACTGCGATTCCAGCCAGCAGAGACTTGGACCCATGACATATGTATTCTAGGCAGGTGTAATGAGAGTTTAACACCAGACAGACACCGACTTGACTCCCTTATGGCAGCTGGGCTTGGCAAAATGAAAGTCGTTTTTCCTAACAAGAATGCATCTCATGAAGAACTACAAAAATTCATGGAAGAAAAGTTTCCAAAGATGAAAGGATCGGGAGGGTTTGAAGTTTTGAGAGCTGTTGGAGGTGGTGGAGGACAAAGGGTACTCAGTCTTATCCCACCAAGCAGAGAAGGATATTCTGTATCATATCTCAAAGAAAGGTTGGGCCAGGCCGTAGCCTATTTCCGTCCACTACAAATTGATTTGGATGAAACTGAAGTGAAATATGATGTGAGTTCAGATTTTAGTTTTATTAGTGCTTTTGGACATTTATTTTTACTAATTATTTTCAACTTACACGATTTTATTATTGCATACTAAGGTAATTATTTCTATTTATTAAAGTTACTCTGGATTTAATTACCGCTCAACATGCTTAACTGTGACAAGGATAGTATTTTCAAATTAGTAAATATATAGGCTTCCCAACCCTTATTGATTCTTGTGTTTCTTACACACCACAAAATTTGACAATTAATGTGCACTTTTCACCTACTGTAAGTATAATCATTGTATGGAAACTGCGATTCAGATTGTCAAGCTTTTATAGTCACTGATATAACATTTGCCTCTTGCATGTAATTAGTAAAATTAATTGGTAATGTTTAAATATTTTTTTAGGATGTTGGTCCAGTTATCAATTGTATCAAATGCAGCACTAGCTTCACATATGGTGAATTTAAAAATCACCAGCTTGTCTGCAACCCTGATGGGCATAAAAATATGGATTTGTAAGTATACACATGTACATACACAACATAATTTATATAATAAATAAAATATATGTTGATTGAAATATAAATATAAGATATTACTGAAAAAGCTAATATTTCTTATTATTATTAACTACAGATCAACTGAAGTATCGGATGACGAGGTTAGGGTTCCACCTGAAGTGGAAACTATCAATGCAGACAAGGTTCAGTTGCTTACACATTCTATTATTCATGATACAAATTATACAGAATATTCACATATAGTTTTTCCAACAGAAAATGTGTATGTACAGTAATAAGCTAATTTTGCTATTAATTTAAAAAAGCCTTCATGCATGCCACCAATGAACTACTATCCCTTTCTGATTCCCAGAATACAGGGCTATATGTTGGTGTGTACAAATTAAAATAATATTACTAAATGTATTTGTTTATGGTGTGTAAGCTAGGTTCAAATGCATATATATATATATATATATATATATATATATATATATATATATATATATATATATATATATATATATATATATATATATATATGTATGTGTGTGTGTAATCATTAATTATACTGTGTAAATGTTCTGTTTGAAAGGTACCTCAGGAAATACAAGATGCGTATGAGAGCCCGATATGTACTAGTGTCTCAGACAAAAAAGAAGTTAAGGATAAAAGTGGTTGGTATTGTTATAGCTGAAATGCTAAACTGTTTTATTATATTAATGGTACAAATCTAGACAAAGATTTATATATGAATAAAGTAAATGTTAAATTGAATTTTAAACTGCATAAATGTTTTTAATAGATTGCATTTCCCACCTGAAAGACATGTTTCCGAACACAAGTATCGAAACATTGCAAAATTCGTATGCAAATAAACAAGGAAATGTGTCTGAGGTGGTTGATGAGCTGATTGGAGGATGGGATGGGCAATTGGAAGGTTTGTACTAGTGGTGTTTCAAATTCTTTGAAACAAAATTGTCAAATGGGTCTATTAAAATTTATTTAATAATTTTAAAATATTTGCTAGATTATTTTCCTGATTTTGAAACAATGATGGAGAATATTGATGCAGATGAACCACTAAATCTTGCTGAACATCTTCAAAAACTAGCACCCACAAAAATAACTCCTCAAAGATTATCTGTTGATCGTGGTAGCCTGTTTAAAGACAGTGTGTCATTTTTCAAAAAGTCAAGTTTCGATTTTGACTCCCCAGTGAAAATAGTATTTGAAAACGAGCCTGCAATCGATGGAGGGGGTCCTAGGAGAGAATATTTACTCTCTTATTGAATTGCTTGGTTTCTCCTAGCAATTTTGTACGACTGTTTGAAGGAAGTGAAGCCCGATTACTACCAATGCATAATACAGATGCATTAAGGGCCAGTCTTTATAAAGTAGCTGGAAGAATTATTGCAACATCCATTTTGAATGGAGGTCCAGGCTTTCCATTTTTATCCCCTGCAATCTATTCATACCTAATTTCAGGCTTAAGTCAGGATATTGACATTGTGAAGGAGGATATAGCAGACATAGATATTAGAGATATTGTAACACAGGTAGGGATTCATCAACATTAATCACTAAGTTCAATTGTCAACCGATACACATTTATATGCAAATGTTTTATCAAAATTAAAGTATTTCATTTTCTGTTACAGATTGATTCCTTAGATAACTTTGAAAATATTCCTGATCAAATCCTTGATGCACTTGTGGAAACTGGTTTTACTAAAAAAATCACCAAAGAGAATAAACTTGAAGCTATCACAAGCATAATGCTGAACACAGTGATCTTAATGCGTAAAGCTGAGCTTGATCAATTTGGTCAAGGTCTTGGCCCAATACTAAATGAAGCACAGAAGCATCCTGATGTTTTCAAGCCCTTGTTTGTTCATGTTGGTGATGTGGATCTTACCCCAGAAATGTTTAAAAGTCTATTGATGCATACACACTTAGATGACCCAATCAAAGGCTATTTTTACAAGTATATTGATAATTTGGGTACGTTATTTTCTGTACCGTAACTATTGGTTTTGATTTAGCTAAGAACATATTACTGTACATATATATACTAAAGCTTAATTTTTACATTATTAGATGCAAAGGGTTTGCAAAAGTTGTTGGCATTTTCTACTGGTGCAAGTAGTATACCACCAATGGGTTTTCATGAACCTGACAAGATAACTCTCACAACTATTGAAAGTGTTTTGCCAAATTCCAATACATGTCCTATGGATTTAGAACTACCAAAAAAAGTTGCCAATTTTGAAGAGTTTTCCAGACAGATGAACATTGCCTTGGACATGCAAGCAATGGGATTTGGCATCATATAAGACACAAGTTGGATTTAGTATCATAACATTTGTTGCAGTTGGGTTCTGTTTTAAAGGCAAAAACATTTTCCAGAAGAGATGTCTACATTTCCTAATTAGAACGCCAGGTTTTGCAAGTGATTGTCCTTAATATGTTTATACTTTCCTTAAAATCACCTGCTAATAAAAACTATTCAGGCTCATGGCAACCTGACCTAGAAGATGCAAAAATGCATGCCTGTATGTATGTTTCAATGCCATACACATCAGTATCATTTAGTGGGTCAATCTGTTGTTTCATTGCTTCGAAATCTTCATCTTGTAATGGAGACATCACATCTTGTGTTTCAATATTTTCTGACTCAGGTACAGGGCAAGGTGCATCAGGGTCAATACCATACTCATTCCATTCCTGTGATGAACAAACATAGATTTTAATTTTTTAGGTTCTAGGCAAACTTGAAATCATAGTTTGCACTTAATATTATGAGCTAGTAGTCTAAAGCCGTGATCAAATGGCACACAACAGTCATCCTAATTGTTACATTTTGACATATAAAATGATTATTTTGAATGCAGTTCTAAATTGCTAAATTGGGTGCAATTTTAAAAACATAAATAGGAACTATACATGCTTTTCTGTATATTGCAACACTTAGTATATTGTTGACTTCGTACACTGCATAATAACAGCACTATGCTTTTTACGGTGATTTTTGTATGTATACCACATTCCATGTTTTTCATTTAATTCTTTCCATAATCCAGAGCAGTTGTTTAACCCTAGCCCTAATGAAAATAATCGAAGAGAACACACGAATAAAAAGCATTTTGAAGTAGTAAGTACCTGAGATTGGTAATCAGAAAGCTCTCCAGTAATATTTGATGACATATCAAATAGTCCATTGATCCAAAGTCTGTTTGGCGTTTTATTTTGTTCAGTTCTCAATGGATGATTATCCCATCCATTACAAAAATGCTGGAGTTGTCTGTTTATTCTTGGTTGAAAAACAAAGTGCAAGCAAAACATGTGAATTGCATTGTTTAGTTCCAAATATCCTGCTTCTTCCAAGTAATAAAAAATAGAGTAATAGATGTACAGACAACCAACAAATAAGTCACGCCACAGCCTCTCTATTCTTTGGTTGTGAACACTTGATCCTGTGATGTAACTTCCCCTGCCTGGTCCTCGCTGTGGATGGTTAAACATATACCAAGCCACCTGGACATTCTCTCCACCATAGTCTCCCCTCACTCTTGAAGGTAGTCCATGAAGTTCAACAGCTTTTGAAAACAAACCTAACACTGTGGCTGCTTGATTATTACCACTACAGGACAAATACATTATCTTTCGAGAAAACCCATCAATGCAACCATGGATGACAAATTTCCACCTGTAAAAGAGGAAGTACATAGCTAGCTCATTACCAAATTATAATGATTGATTTATTTGATTGAAATTGAATTCAGGTATGAATGTATTTACTTTTGTGCATGCCTTCTCACCTTTTAAGTTTATGATGACCATCCATGTGCCAGAGAGAAAGAGGTCCTCTAACATTGTAAACCCTTCTGTGAGTTACCCTTAGCTGTAATGCTCGAACAAGAACACCTTCAGGATCTGAACGTCTCATTGCTTCCCTTACTCTACTCTCCTGCAACTTCAATCCCCGCGAAAGCAAATGTCCACGCATTGTTTTATATCCAGTGTTAGGGAATTCCACCAATATCCCTTTAATTATGTCATCCAACTCGTTCTCAGTAATACTGGAATAGCTGTTCCTCATGGATAGCCCATATTCCTCCAGTCTCCGGTAAACTGTTTTTTCACTAACACCCAAAATCTTTGCCATTTCACTTGCCTTGAATCCATAATCGAGAAATAGTTCCATTTGTTCACAAGGAATGTGAAAACTAGGCCTTCCTCTGGAATTTGTTTGCAATAAAGTTGGTACATGGTTGTTGCCTGTGTACAAATCGTCGTCAATGGTTGCAAGAATAGTTTGTGCTTCCCTGATACGTGGTAAAAGTAAATGTTCTATGTTTTCCAAATTATTGCCGAATCTCGTCAGTATTGCACAAAGCCAATCGACTTTGTAGCGAACATAGTCAATGTTAATATTACCATTTGTGCCTTCTAGATTACGAATCACATCGATTAGAATTTCTCTAACATTAACTCGAATCAAATGAAATGGTGAGTTTTGCTGGCTTTCACTAGTAAAAGACATTTTAATTTTTAAATAATAACGTTACCGTAAACTCGTAGCAAAATTCAGAGTGAAACGCCGAAAGTCAAACTATTCCAGAATTTATAGAACGTCCTTACACGAAGTCTCATGTAGCAACCGCTGACCCGATTAAACTATGTCCGCCGGCTCGAGCTAGTAGAAGGAACGGCCGCTGACCCGATGACATGAGTCCGCCGGCTCAAACCGAAGGCAGAAAGTGTACGAACAAATGGCGTGTAACTTACACGCGAACAACGTCGAGAATAAAACTGATACGAACGAATAGCATGTGGCATGAACGAACGGCATGCAATGTACAAGCGAATGTCATTTTTGTCCCAAATGCCCCTCCATAATGATCGAAAACTGAATGCAAGTTTACTAAGAACTCGATTTTTTTTCACGCGTGTTATGTACACGTTTCTCGGGGGAAACTATGAAGTTTCTAAAGTCAAACCTTTCATTGTTGCTATTCTATGATGAATGTCATTTTTCAGAGTTATCTATGGAAAGGTAGATTATGCATTTTAGTAGCTATGATAGAGCGTATCCTCGTTGATTTATAAACCGTAAGAACTATCCGTTTGAGAACTTTGCTTTAGAGACAACATTCTCCCTAACCGCATTATATTTAATGCTCGGCGCTATACGACTGTTCATAAACTGTCAAATAAGAGATGTTTATACTTAATATGCAGTTTGCACTTAAATTATATTTATTTGCTGTTGAGTGTTTATAATAAGAACAAGTACGATCGTACTATAGTGGAGCAGGAACTGCGTAACAGAGTTTAATTTCTGAACTGCATTGTATTTATAACAATGGAGAAGACAATGTATTTCTAAACGTTTCCGTTTACTTATATATAGGCTGAATATTAATGATATGTATATATTATTTGCTGCAAATATATCAAGAATTGCTTGTAACAATTAAGTTACAAGCAAGTTACAACAATTGCTTGTAAGAATTGTCATACAAATATTTTCCAGAATTACCGAGTCAGACAAGAGACGATTTGATTAAGCGATGTTTGTAGCGGCCAGCTTGAGCTTGCTGTTGCTTGCTATTGGAAACATTTCAGCAAACCAATGTTCCCCGACGAATTACCACACAATCATAAGAGGTGAGTATTGTCGTGAAACACAAGTTAAATGTTTCATATGGTGAAATTATGCAGTCCCGCATAAAACGCATAATTTTAGTTCAAATTTCTCTTTTAAGAATTTTGTTGAAATTTTTAGGAGGTCCATCATTGCCTGCGGATGAAATAATATCAAGACACAATGTTACATCTTCAATTGTCATGTTAGGATGTCACACTCACTGCAAAGACGAAGACAAATGTGTTGGATTCAACTACAGGACAACAAAAAATGTCGAAAATTGCCAACTGACAAACGTTACTAGAAAGAAAGAAGAAACGAAACGGACCGGAGATTGGATATTGATGCAAAATGTTGAAGCGGTAAGATTGATAAATTAAATGATATTTAAGAAAATATAGAAAACATTTTCTGTGTTTCTATACAGTTATAGAAACACCCGTGGGAGTTTGGGAGAACGAGAAATAATCAGGGGGAAAATGAGCCCATGCATAGGGGGAGCTATTTCGAGTTCTCCCAAACAACCACAAGTGTTTCTATAAAATAATATAGAAACACAGAAATAAATGTTTTCTATTTCTTTTATAATATAACTCAATAAAAAGGTTTTGTACAAATATTATAATTCGATCTATTACAAATTCTCATTACATCGCTTCCTTTGTCAAGTTCGGCCGAAAAACTCCCGTGTTTCTATATAGTTTTAGTATACACCCGACTCTTGTCTATTACAAATCCTACATTCTGATTGGCTACTCAACCATTGTCTATTCGTGATGGTGCACGCTTGGGAAAATTTCGCTCGCGCGACCGCATAAAATTGAATTATTTTTAAGTGTAATTGCGGGGTATCGATTATTTTCTCGAAATTAATATATCTAGGTGCAGGGTGTATACTAAAGCAATTAGACAACTCGCCTTCGTTGTCTATGAGCGATTAGTCAACTCCGGCTTCGCCTTCGTTAACGTTGACTATTCGCTCATAATGACATTCGTCATTCAGACTCGTTGTCTAATTGTTAAATAGTAACACACTTCTTGACCAATCAGCACGCGCGTACAATAAATGTTATATTATATTAAATTATATTATATATTGTGTTATATTAATGTTATATTATAACATTATAATATAATAATATATAATAGGGAATTATTTTGAAAATCCATAAACAAGACAAAGTGTAATGGACCAGAAGCAACATGCGGCAGAGTTTAATAAACCGCCTACGGGCGACGCCTTGAAAATTCACAAACCTATATCTCGTCGCCATTCGACAGCACGTAAAAACTATACAAAAAATTTATATTAACTAAATACATATGAAAATGTATATTCGTACGCTATACCATATGTTGAAACATAATACTATATAGTTACTTCTGTCCCCTAAGAACTTTATTTAGCACGAGAATTTAATAGACTTGGAGTTGAATCGAGCGGTTGGTATCAAATACTAAGGACGCTAATATCTTTTGATAATTTACAAGCCATTTTATACTTTGGCTCGTGAAGGCGAGACAAAAAACAATTAAGATTAAAGTGAAATATTTAAGGGTGTTACCCACAAGGGTGTTAGGGCGAGCCTATTTCCCAACAGAATTATATCATTAATACATAAAGCCGGTTTTCCACTAGCGATATTTTCCGCGCGAAGCGACATTTTACTTTTGTTTCAGAGCTCTCAACTGCAACCATCGGGAACAAATTGCTCAAATACAAAGGAATAAAGTCGCTTCGCACGAAAAATATCGCTAGTGGAAAACCGGCTTAATAGTATTATTTCTCGTGCAATTACGGATAAACACGCACTCGTGAGTTTTTAAAGACTGCAAATAGCGCTCGCGCTTTGGACTCGCGCGATTTTGCAGGCTTTAAAAACTCAATCGTGCCTTTTAATCCGTAAACGCACTCGAAATTATACTATTACCTACAGTAATATATTAATTAATCTATAAAGATTAAAATCAATATTTTATTAACTTCAGTATATTTTTGTAATCTTATTTGTGTAGGCAAAGAAAGAGATTGAAGAAGAAAATCTTACCAGGAAATCAAGTAATTTGCTTTAGAATTATCATACAAATATCATAATTTTAAATTTTGGAACATTCGGAATATTATTCGGAACAAAATTACGAGAATTTTAATAATAACTAAATTAATTTATTAACTGTTATGCAATGAGAAATTTTTTAAAATATCTGTCAATATATGCGCCACATTAATGCAATACGTACCAATGAAGCTCGGGACCTCTCAGTTTAATGAATTTCATTTGGAGTAGGGACTCGAATGTTTCAATGATATTTACGAATGGCCTGTTATTTTGTTGAGCAAAAATAGTATTTACAAGAAATGTAGTCTAGGGTATTTTCAACCTAAAAATGGCATAACTACTTAGGCATTGTCAACATGGGATATCTTATTTTAGATTAGGCATATCGCATTGTGCTTAAAAACAAAGAGCTATTTGGGGATAATCCCCCCCCAGCAAAATCAAACTTGGTAATTGTACTAATTTTCTTATATTCTCACAAAAATTTCTTTTTTGGCCTAATCTGATAGCCTATACCCAGAAAAGGGACGAAAGGTTAAAAGCTATTTTATTTTATTCCCATGCACGGGAACAAATTCAAGAGGTTTTTAACCCGTTTAAAATAAATTATTACTGCTTTTATTGGGAACACTAAATTGCAATAATTTCAGGTCTCGATTGCGCTGATATCTATCACAAAGGAATAAAACAAAGTGGAATTTACAAAATTGATCAAGACGGAAAGGAAAGTTTCAAAGCGTTTTGTGATATGACAACATCAGGTGGAGGATGGACTGTATTTCAACGTCGTCTTGATGGAAGTGTTGACTTCTACCGAGGATGCAAGATTACAAACAAGGTTTTGGTAACTTGAGCGGAGAATATTGGCTTGGTCTTGACCAAATACACAGGATGACAAATATTTCACAAAATGAACTTCGTATCGACATGGAAGATACATCTGGGAACACCAAATACGCTCATTATGATTCATTTAAAGTCAGCGGCGAAAATGAGAAGTACAAGTTGAATGTTGGAGGTTATCATGGTAAGCATTTTACATTAAACTGAGTCATATTTCAATAAAATCATAAGATAGTCCAGCTCTCTATACAGTCAACTTTGCAGTGAACTATTAATACACTATTAAATCCAGCATATTAAATATTGTTTAATTTATAGGAATATTATCAATGAGTGATCCATAAATATAATTGAAACGAGGCAGTTTTTGTAGTAACTCGAGAAATGTAAAATATCTCCATTTTGAGAATTTGCTAAACTTTTAACAAAACAAAAATCTCAGGACATTCGATTACGTGCATTAATTATTGCACTCCTATTCGTTCTATTACCATTATTTGCAGGACCCCACTGAAAAACGCTATATATAGGTGAAGTTGGGTATCCTGGTTAAGTATAGTAATAATTAATTGATTTTTTGCATTAATTAAGGTACAGCAGGAGACTCGTTATCATATCATAACGGTATGACTTTCAGCACCAAAGATGCTGACAATGATATTGCCAATATTAATTGTGCAGCGAAATTCAAAGGAGCCTGGTGGTATCGTGATTGCCTTCGTTCCAATTTGAATGGTTTGTATCATTATGGCGCACACACATCGAACGCTGATGGAGTCAACTGGCGCAATTGGAAAGGTTTTCATTATTCTCTGAAATCAACATCGATGATGATACGACGACGTGAATTTGGAAAGAAGAAATAAAGATGTTGAACAATAAAAAGACATAAGGTTTACTTTACAAAAAGTGTAGTGCACTAATACGTGTCTTGTTAGTTTTTCAAAATATTTAGAATAGAGATTCTTTTCCTACCATTAGCCTAACCCGCAGTTAATAGAATATACACAGGGTTGGATACTAAATAAAAGCACAATAAAAGTCATTAACTATG